CCCCTCCTCCTGCCACCTCCCATTGGCTGGGGACAATGGGAGCTGCAATTGACTGTACCTGCTGTCGTGCAGGTAAATATAGCGCTGGCAATCCGCCAGGTGCTAACGTTGACAAACTGTGTCTGGCCCGCAGGCCACTTGTTGCCCTACCCTAGAGGGTGCCACAGCGGTGTAAGAAATGTGAGGGATCCAGACCACCTAGGGGAATAGAGGGGAGATGAAAACAAATGTTGCGAGTGAGTTAAATGTCCAGGCCAGAGATCAAAATGTCCTTGGTTCACCTGCTATTTGCTGCTGCCAGAATGGAACATGTCACTATAACGCTACCACACGAGCTGCCACCTGTTCCAAGTTCGTTGAGCTCCCCTATGCCGATGAAGCAGCCCTGAAGGATGCCATCGCCAATATCGGACCGGTCTCCGTCGCCATAGATGCAAAACAGCCTACATTCTTCCTGTACAGAACAGGTATGTTCCCTAACCCAGAATGCCTCGCGCCCGGAGCTGTCAGTACCTCGTTTGAAGCAGCAATGCCTCCATTTCCTGCGGACTGTCTCTTTGACGCACACCCTGTGCTCTTCCCACAGAGACGTGGCTTTTGTTTTCTTGTTTTTTCCTGTAATCTTTTGGCCCTTCAGTGCATTCCAGCATTTATACATAGCCGCAGGCGGCTGAAAGCGTATGTTTTTCTTTTTGTGAGTGACACCATCATGTAACCCCTTGGCTCATAGTCACTGACTTCATTTTCCCCAAGGATGCCCCACTCCCACTCCGCCCTGTGAACCTGACCTGTCCCTCCCCCACTGCTTCCTCTGAGGTCCTCCCCATGCTCCACCTCTTCCCATCTTCCCACTCTGCCTCTCCTCTAAAGCCCTGCCCTTGCACTGCCTCTTTCCACCCCTGCTCCGACCTAGAGGCCACCACCCCGCTCGCTGCTCTCTGACCTCCCCAGAGAACCTCCCTCAGCCATCAAATGGCTGATTGATGGTGCTGCCCATCAGCCATGGCTGATGAGTGCTATGGAACCCCCTTTTTTATCATGGGTGCTCCAGCCCCAGAGCACTCATGGAATCGGCACCTGTGCCATGGTTCAATATGTGTTACATGACCCCTTGTAGCAGCTGGTAAGAGGATAAATGCCTACTACTGCTAGAAGCTAATGTCTCTTGGCTTTTGCATAAGATATGTCTACATTGCATGCCGCTGGGGACAGCATCTAGGGTCAGTGTAGCTACCCATTCCAGTGGAAAGCAGGCATGGCAGTAGAAGGCTCAGGCAGAGTGGAGGCAGTGGGAGCTGTCGGAGTATTTCCCCACTAACTCTCACTGCTGGCTTCTTTCTCTATGGCAGAAAAAGGCTGCAGCATCTGGGAGGTAGCGTAGCAGCATATGACACTGCTAAAACTAGCAGTGTGGGCAGTGGGAGGCCCTGCTTGGGCATGTAGGGCATGTACCGTAATGGCCTGGGTGTATCTTCACTGCCATATGCCATTTCCATTTTCTGTTTATACCTTTTTGTGTGGGGGTAGTGTATCTAGTCTACATGCTGCCATAAGGAGTGTGCGGTATGGATATACTCTGATACTGGAAATTCTCCAGGACAGGAGCTATTGCTTTGTTCTGCATTTACCTCTCTGCTGGCTGCCCTGGGCACCTGAAACTGCATGACTGCTCATGTGGCTTCCCCTTGGTTCCCTCATTTTTCTTCAGGGAAGCAAAGAAATCTGTGGGGGACATAAATTCTGCACATGCACAGTGGCACTGAATTCCCCCAGGAGTACAGTGTGGACTCTTCACTCATGTTAATGTATTGCCAGTGCACCTGGGGCTATGTCTAGACGACAGAGGGATGCAAATCAAGCACATCGAAATTGCTAATGAATCAGGGATTTAAATATCCCATGCTTCATTAGTATAAACATGGCCACCGCTTCTTTTCAAAGTGGAGCTTTCTTTTTTTTTTTTTTTAAAGGCAGTCTAGACACGGATCTGTCGAAAATAAACCCTTTTTCGACAGATCCTGTATTCCTCAAATAATGAGGTTTACAGGATCTGTCAAAAAAGGGTTTATTTTCAACAGATCCGCGTCTAGACTGCCATTTTTTTGGGTTTTTTTTCCGAAAAAACTCAGTTTCGAAAAAAAGCGGCAGTCATATTTATACTAATGAAGCGTGGGATATTTAAATCCCTGCTTCATTAGCAATTTCGATATACCTAATCTACACCTCTCTGTCAACAGAAAGGTGTAGTCTAGACACACCCTGGGTGAGCAGCAGGGAGATGGACTTTTGGTTCTGCTAAGGCTCAGTGATAGGAAGAGACTTTTCCTACCTATGGCCCTGGTGAAAACTGAGGGTAAATTGCTTGTAGGGTAAGGAAGTAAGTAGAAGAAGGGCATCACCCAACACAGGATTTGAACCCATGACACTGAGAGTGCCAACTGAGCTAGCCAAGCTGTTATTAGGTGAGCCTGTCTTGCTGGAGCTAAAGAACCAACGTCTTCTAGTCAAGGCTGTGGCAAGTTCACCAACTATTCTGTGGCTCGGTCACCACTAGAGGGAGACTAGTCCACCAAGTGGGCATGGCTTACATTAATCTGTGATGTCTTTTGTTAGTTTTGACTGGGTTGTATTTCAGGCACAATCAGATATTTTGGCTGCAATTTTGTGCTGCACCAAACTCAGCCCAGGATGACTCTAAAATGGCCTTTCAGGCCAATTCTGGGGTTGAGACTGCTCCTGGGGTAATTTAGGCAGCCTCGGGTGTTACATATGTCATGTCAAGCTCCCAAGTACCACACTGAATTGCTATACACCCGAACCCTGGCTGGCAGGCCAGAGCTTTTGAGAGGGGGCCTCCTAAGATAGCTTCTGGCTGTCTTACTGAGTTCCTGTGCTGGTGGAATTCTGGGTTGGAGGATTTTAAGGGAACATTGTAAGGGAATCATATTAGAAGGAAGATTCCCTCCTGGTGTTTGTAGGAGATGGGATACTGCAATAGCTCAATGGAGTGATGGAGCCTTTCAATGATTGTATAGGCCATAAAAACTTACCTTCCCATCGGACTGTGTGCTGGACTGAAGTTTAGGAGAGTTTGGTTCTGTTCTTAGGGCAAATCATTTACTTCTCTATGCCTCAGTTTCCCCATCTGCACCATGAAGATAATGAGACTGACCCACTTAGTGATCTATTGATAAAAAGAGTGAGCAATTATTATTACTCCCATTATAGGGGCCAGCTTAGAGGCATGTTGGTTCCATGTGTGTGCCGTTGCTCACAACAATTTTATTAAGAAGAGAGAAATCCCTGCTAGCTTCTTTTCCTCCCACATGATTGTGCATTCTTTCCTTCCAGGAGTCTATGATGATCCACGTTGCACTCAGGATGTAAATCATGGGGTCCTAGCTATTGGCTATGGCACCCTGGATGGGAAGGACTTTTGGCTGGTGAAAAACAGGTAAAGGAGAATCCATGACAGAGCTGTATTTATATCTAGAATAACAGGCTCCTGGGATGCGCATGGGGTGTGAGTAAACTGCAGAGCTGTGCTTGTCTGTATCTGTACTAGTGTGAATTGGACTGTACTCTGTTAAACATCTTGAAATACATGAAAAAAGGGGTGGGGAGAACCCTGACTATAAATCAAGGTGTTTTATTCTCTTAATGTTTAATTCTGTGTTGTTCTCCCTTTCAACAGCTGGGGGGAATATTTTGGTGACAAAGGTTACATTCGAATGTCCAGGAACAACGGAAACCACTGCGGGATTGCCAGCTACGGTTGCTATCCACAAATATAGAGGAATGTTCCGCTTCACAAGGCACTCTTCAGATGTGGTCTCTTCAACTGCTACTCTGAGACTTGCTGTAGTCTAACTGCTCTGTTTGAGAACAATGTATGGGCTTTAAAGGCAAAATCCTGCCATCAGATCCAGGTGACGGATCTGAGACAAGTAGCTGAAATGATGAATGACCATGATTGGTCTGGTTCAGAATTTGGGCACTTTTCGCTTTCTCTCCCTGTCCCCTAGTTCTGTTTCTAATTGATTAATGTCTCTCCGTTGCTTTGCACGTGAGAAGGTGCTTTTTGACACCTTGTCATTGTCATTGAAGTTGTCTCAAAATGTAATGGAGTGAAGGCTGCATCATGTGGCTAAAGTTAGTCCAAGCTGTAGGTGGAACAGTATAGCTGCCAAAGCCACCTCAGAGGTGGAGAAGCTAAGTAGATGGATCAACACATCCCTAGTCACAAGTATCCATTTTGCAAAATACAGGATGCAAAACAGCCATTAGCAGGCTGGGAGATCAAACAAAGTGTGGGTATTCTTAAGGGAGAGGGGGATATGTTTTCCATGGCTTCACAAAATTGGGATGGCATCTGGCATCCAGAACTGACCTGAGATCACCTTGTGGCATGGAGAAAGCCAACCACAGAACCAAGTGCTGCTGTTTTTATAAAATGTGACCTACAGAGCAAGGTCTGCCTTTTCCACCTGCAGCCTTTGGACAAAGGACACACAGATGAAAGGCCTGATTCCCTCTTCCACTGCACAGCCATTGACACCTGTGCAAAGCAGCGGGACAATGATGCTGAATCAGAACAGAAGTACCTTTCACCTCAGATATAAATGACCGCACACAAGGCACATAGTGGAGAACCAGCCCCAAAGGCTATAAGTCTAGCTGCAGGTATGGGGCTAGTGATTGACCGAGCAAGTATTCTGGGAAAGGGTGAACCTAGCATCCCCATCCCCAGCTACAGACAAGTTCTGAAAGGCAGTCGCAGGAGCGCTAGGACTCGCATACGCTGCCCTGCTCCACAGGCCAGCAGCGAAGATGGTCTGAGGGTCCAGATCTAATCTCATCTGTAAACAATGCATGCAGTAGACATTGCACATCCTCTCCCAAAAGGAAAAAAATAAATTCAACTGTCTGAAAAGTTTAGGCTCAGTCTGTTCAGCGGGGCCAGGTCTGGGATACTTAGCGAGTGACAGAAATGCAAAGCCACACTGACTGCAGACGAAAGAAACACTCAGGCCCTGATGCTGCAAAATCTCACCCATAAGGGTAGTGCTCAGAGTCTCTGCAAAGCCAAGAGGGCTCCATATGGACGCAGGGCTCCAATTAACCTGGTTACAAGGTCATGGCCTTAGTTAATCAAAGGGAAGCTGGCAAAAATGAGAGCTCTCTCTGTATGTTACAGGGCCAGGTAGAAAAATAATCAGTGGTGGGATAGGAGGGGAAAATCAAATCTTTATGACAATGTAACCATTTGGGGAGCTTGACTCCAGTTATTTCATTATCTTTGTGGCTGGTTTTAGCAAAATTTGATGTGTCAGTTGCAAAAAAGAAACCCCAACAACCCTCCCCGGCCCACACAAAAACACACGCACCAGTGGATGAACGTAGAACAATTGAGCAACATGGTGACATTTCTTGAGATGTGCAGCCAGCACCAAAGAACGCTGAGGATTTCACCCCCACACATATGTAGCCCTTTATAGCATGGACCCAGCCTCATTCTAGGCCTGACTCCCTGTTTGTGCAATGGCCTTTTTACCCTGGTACAGCAGTGTACAGGGACCCCAGTGCAAATGAGGATCAGTCTGTCACTTGGAAGCCCTGGGTGAATACCTGTCCAGCTGGAGTAGGCCACCTAGCATGTGGCTCTAATATGGGCAACCCCTTCTCTTTCCTTGAGAGTGCTGTGGCCACAGCATGGGCAAAATTGGGGGAGACTGAGACTAGGATAGCAAGCCTGAGAGAGTTATGGCTCTATCAACATCCTTTCTGACCAGAGGCGCAATGGGAGGAGCAAGGGCTACAGACCCATGCAGAGCAGACAGGTGTTTACAATCCCACCTGTCGGAGGTTTTCGGCACCAGGTTCCATGGCTCGGGGAAATGGATTGCCCTGTTGCTTTGGCAGGTGAGGAACTTTCCTTGTTGCTGCACATGTCCTTTTCCTTTGTCAATCAGCAGGAGTTCTTGACACTTGAAAACCAGAAGTGTCATTTATTGGGGGAAATGATAAGCTAACAACGGTGGCTTTAAATATGTTGCACATACACCTGGTGCTTAACAGACAGACTAAATGCCAGATCCTTGTCCTGGTAGCTTGATTTCCACGGCTTCCATCCTCAGTTCTCTATTGCCACTACCATTGCACAGATGTAAAATGGGGAATAACTGGTCAGATGGCAGTACTGCTGAAAAGGATCTGGGGTTATAGTGCATCACAAATTGAATGAGTGATCATGCTGCCAAAAAGGCTAATATCCTTCAGGGGGGAATTACCCAGGAGCATTGTGTGTAAGACATGGGAGGTAACGCCCCCTCTCTATTTGGCACTGGTGAGGCCTCATGATTCTGGGATGCATTAACAGGGGTGTTGTGAGCAAGACATGAGTAGTCATTCTTCCACTTTACTCTGTGCTGATTTGGCCTCAGTTGGAGTATTGTGTCTAGTTCGGGGCACCACATTTCAAAAAAGATGTGGAGAAACTGGAGAGGGTCCAGAGAAGAGCAACACAAATAATTAAAAGCGACAAGGAGTCCTGTAGCACCTTATAAACTAACAGATGTATTGGAGCATAAGCTTTCGTGGGCAAAGACCCACTTCACCAGATGCATGTATCTGATGAAGTGGGTCTTTGCCCACAAAAGCTTATGCTCCAATACATCTATTAGTCTATAAGGTGCTACAGGACTCCTTGTTGCTTTTGGAGATCCAGACTAACATGGCTACCCCTCTGATACTTGACACAAATAATTAAAGGTCTAGAAAACATGGCCTATGAGGAAAGACTGAAAGAACTGGGTTTGTTTAGTCTGGAAAAGAGAAGATGAAAGGGGACATGATAGCAGTTTTCAAGTACCTAAATGGGTGTTACAAGAAGGAGGGAGAAAAATTGTTCTCCTTGGCCTCTGTTGGTAGGACAAGAAGCAGTGGGCTTAAATTGCAGCAAGAGAAGTTTAGTTTGGACATTAGAAAAACTTCCTAAATGTCAGGGTGGTTAAACATTGGAATAACTTGTCTAGAGAGGTTGTAGAATTTCTATCATTGGAAATATTTAAGAGCAAGTTAGATAGACATCTTTCAGGAATGATCTTGATGGATCTTGGTCCTGCTGAGAGGCCAGGGGACTGGACTTCATGACCTCTCGAGGTCCCTTCCAGTTCTAGTATTCTATGATTCTATGTCTCCTGAGGGATGGACAACACATAATGGAATTAATCTTCAGCAAGGGAGATTTAGGTTGGAGATGAGGACAACCTTTCTCACATTAAGGATGGTTTAGTACTGGAACAGGTAACCAAGGGCATGTCTACACTGGGGAGTTATTTCAAAATAACTCCCCTTATTTTGAAATAAGATGAGCATCCTCACTACCAAGCCTGTTATTTCAAAATAATGGACTTATTTCAAAATAATATCTCCTGCTTGTGAAGAGAAATAAGCTTATTTCGAAATAGTTATTTTGGGAGTTATTTTGAAATAACCTTGTAGTGTAGACATAGTCCAAGGGAGGTTGTGGAATCCCCATCACTGAAGGTCTTTTAAGAACAGGTTGGATGCTCATCTTTCAGGGATGGTCTAGGGTTACTTGGTCCTGCCTCAGTGTGAGGGAGCTGAACTAAACAATCTCTCCAGATCCCTTCCAGCCTGACATTTCTCTGATTTTACGACTGTGCAGTCATAGTGCAAAACAGGTGAAAAACCCTGCAGAAGCAACATGTTGGTAGCACTTCACACCCATCTTGCAATACCTGCAAAGGGTGAGGCAACAGGGAATCACGCCTACCATAGATATTTTATTTTGCTTCGTTCAGTGCTGGTCTCTGAAGAACTCCACCTGGAAGAACACCTTGGAAGCCCCAGTAGCTCTGGAAGTTCATGTAAAAATCACAAGATACTTAACAAAGTTTTATTTTCCTTAAGGCTAATTATAGGTATTTCTCCTTCCAAAGACTGGAGTGCACATTTCAGTGATCGTATACAGAGTGAGAACCATAGATCCACTGCAGCATTGCCAGCAACAAACATAAATCTCTGTACTCCAAAATGGACTCTTGAGAGCCAGAAACATGGCCTGTTAAAATAGCAGTGGCTGTGCATGCCTTTAAATAATTCGCAAGCCCTTGAGTGGGGCTCGCTGTTCTATTTAAAGGGATCCTATTCTAGACCTGCACGCAACTCTAACCTTAGGCATGTTTTAATCTAATTGCTTTTTGTAGAAATGTTGAAGACTCTCTAAGGGGGAAATTCTCTGATCTGTTTAGTGGATCTGAAACAAGCTACACAAATTAGAACTTATTGCAGCAGGCCTCACCAAGGAGGAGGATATTTTTACTTTGTTTGCTACAAGCTGCCCAGGGATGTTGTGAGGTTTAATCGCTTTCTGTCTATGCTGCTTTGCACGTGGCAAGTGTTATATAAGGGCTAAGTATCATCAGGCTAGCTCAGACGGGGCTGGAAGAAAAGCTGCTTTGGGTGGGAAACATAGGTGCTGAACTTTATTTCTCCCATGGGGGATATTCTACCCTCTCTCTGCCCTGCGGCTCCACCCCCATGCCACCCCATCCTTTCTCTACCTCTTCCTGCCCCTGGTTCCAACCCTTCCTCGAGGCCTCCACCCACTCGCTGCTCTCTATTCTCCCCCTAGCTCTCCCCCAGTTGCCAAATAGCTGATCAGCAGAGCATTCCCTAGCAGCTGATGGGTGGTGCCCTGCAACAACTCAGCAGGAGTGCCACCAAACAGCTGCAGCTGGTGGGTGCTGAACACCCACTATTTTTTCCGCAAGTGCCTGAGTACTGAAGTACTCACAGAGTTGGTGTCTGTCAAGGGGGATGGGTGACTCCCATGGCTTGAGAAGATAATAGCCCCAGCGCTTTCCCTTCCATGCCCACCAGAGCCCACCTCCACCGCATTGAGACTGCTGCTGGACCCTGCCCAGGCCCCGTCACAATGTGGCTGCTGGCCTTCCTCCCCAGGGTAGCGCCCCCAGCCTGGGATAGTGCAGTCCCAGCCCCGGAGCTCCGGAGAGCCAGTGGCTGGAGCCTGCCCTGGCCCTGGAGCCCAGCCACCTCACCAGCAAGCCCTCCATCCACTACAGCTACACCACCATCCCCAGTACTGGACAATGGCCAGTGGTCCACGGTGCTAGCAGGACAGGCAACATGGCACGGCCTCCAGCCTGGCTGTGTCAGCCTTCGGCACCACAGCAGCAGGCTGGGGAGGAGGCCTGGGATCAACATGTGTCTGTTCAAGTGTGTAGGTTTTTTTTAACCTAAAAGCTGCAAAGCAAATGTTAGCAACCCAATGAATTGTGCACCCTCCATTTTATTGAGTAAAAGCGGAGAGAGGGAGAATGGAAAGAAGCAGATAGAATAAGATGGAACACATCCAGATACGTTTCCAAGCAAGCCTGGATGAGAATTGCCATTTCCAGTATTGTGATCCCCAGGAAGAATTGGCTACCACTGCACTACGAGAACCTTCTTTCCACAGCTGAGGACAACATAGGAGGACAGAGCACATACCACGAGTGCAGAGTCTGAACCTAGCCAGGGTAACTCACGTGCTCTATCAAGCCAGGAATCCAGCTGGTGAAATTTCCAATGCAGAAGTTTCATTTTTATTTCTTCAGTCCTTTATCATGAGAACACAGGTCATTCCTCTGAATTTCCTAATTTGTCTAATCATTGTTTTGTGGTAACTCAGCGGGCCACAATGCTTATATGTAACCCTTTAGAAGTTGCAGGCAAATATATTCATTCTCACAAACTGCTATGTAATCTGTGTTCTGAGCATCAGGACCTATGCTGATTTATAGCAGCTGAGAAGCTCTCAGTTGTCCTTTGCTCTGTTATAGAAACTTTCATCTGAGGACGTCAGGGTACATCTATACAGCAAAACAAAAAACAAAACCAAATCCCAAACCAAACCAAATCAAAACAGAAACCCACCATAGCTTGTTCTCTGGTCAACAGACTCAGGCTTGTAGGGCTTGTGTTGTGGGATTAAAAATAGCAGATTTGCCTTTGAGATAATTATAAAGGCTTTAAAATCAGAGACAAAAAGGCCTGCTGGTACTAACGCTAGATAAATTGGCTATGCTCTGTGCCTGTTTCCTCGCCTCCAAAATGGCGACAATGCTATTGACTCAGTTTTGAAAAGGGTTTGAAGTATTTGGACGGATGGTGCTGTATAAATACTGCACATTATCAGTATGCTGTGAATTGTGTTTTCTATTCTACTGGGTATTATGTATTATGACTGAAGCTGGTACGTCAGTGACATCATATCTACTAAGCCCTTTCTGAGTGAAGTAATTGGGGAATATTAATAATCTCTAGCTCTTACTTGTGGCTTTTCATCAGTACATCTCAAAGCACTTTGCAAAGATAAGTATGATTAACCCAGTTTTACAGTGGGGGAAACTGAGGCATAGAACAGGGAAGTGACTTGCCTATGCTCACCAAACAGGCGCCAGCAGAAGTTCAGGGGAACCAACATGGGCCCATGGACAAGGTGTGGGGGGGCCCAGCTCCATAATCCCAGAAGGGGTAGGACATCAGGCAGAAAGGGCAGGATCAGGATAGCTATCACTCTGTGCTGCTCAGAGGAGCAGCGTGCCCTCTCTCCCAGCCCTCAGAACTGCAAGGTGGTGAGTTGAAGGACGTGGGGCTCAGGCCACCACCTCTACAGTGGCAACAGCGGCCACCAGGTGCTGCTTGAATTGCTGGGCTCCAGGGCAACTGCCCTCTTTGCTCCCCCTTGTCGGTGGCCTGCAGAAGTCAGAATAGAACTGAGGTCTCTTGACTCCTCCTTTGGCATTCTACCTCCTACAGTATCAGGTGAGTTAAGCCAAAGGGGAAGGGTGGTAGAGCAGTGATGGGAGACTGGTAAGCAAACCTCAAGTTCAGGCAGCGCGTTGGGTTGTTTTAATCATTGCTCAATCGGAAGGAAACAATATGCTTAGAAGTAATTTAAAATAATTAAAACTTAAAATGTTAATAACCATGCTCTCATCTAGTTAAATTTACCATAGTTTAGACCAAAATTACATAGAACAGGACTTTGTTCTTGCATGACAATGAAACAGTGGGGCTGACAGGAATATGTTTTGGGAAAGTTGGGGCAGATTTGAAAGGCATAAGTGCTGAATTTTCTTAATTATCCACTGGATAAGCCCTACTTTTCATGGGTTCTTATGATGCCCTGTCATCTGCAGACAGTTTGAGTCCCAAGTGTCCTTTTGGCATTATGTTATAAAGGTATGTCATGAAATAATAGTCACCCGCCAGTTTGTATGATTTCTGCACATGGTTCTGTTGCACCAAACTGCAACCCTCCGTTACAACACAACATCCCCACCCATCCATCAACACAACTGGGAAGTGAAAATGTTGCTGCGTTCTGTGAAGTCAGTGAAGGCATCATCACAATGCGATTAGTTTATCCTGCAGAGCAGACAGGAACAGGTGGCAGCCCTAAATCAGTGATAAACATGATGGAGGAGGCAGATTTGGGATAATAGTGTGTGCACCTTCACTTGCTTGTGATAGCAGAGAGTAGTGAAGAAGAGCAGAAGCTGTGATGAAGGGTACGTCTATACTGCAAGAACCAACACCCTGAACCCAATCTTAATCTGCAAGGGAGGTGGGGCTCTGAGCCCGGGCAAGGTGGGAGGACGGGGCATCTCTGTGAAGGAGCAGGGCCTTGGCCAGAAGGGGAGGCGTGGGTTAGGGTTAGGGTTAGCACTTAGCGCCACACCAAACCCCGCCCCCCAGTGCCATCCAGAAAGTGCCACCCTGGGCGCCAGCAGAGACTGAAATAGTCCGGCGCTCTGGCTGCAGTAACAGCTGCAATGACCAGGAGTTCTGAGCCCTTTTGAATTGCTGGGCCTCAAGGAAGGAGCTCCCTCTGCCCTCCCGACCCTGAGTCAGTAGGGATGTGTCTAGACTACAGGGTTATTTTTTTTCTGAAAAAGTAGTCTTTTTTTAAAAAAAACTTCACCTGCCTCTAGACTGCAGCCGGGTTCTTTCGAAAGTTAATCAAAAGAACTCAGCAGTTTTTTTGATCGTCGTAAACCTCATTTTAAGAGGAATACTGCATTTTTTCGAAAGTACTCTTTCAAAAAAAGGCATTACCAAATGCAAACTGTGCTTTTTCAAAAGAGAGTGTCTAGACTCTCTTTCGAAAAAGCAGCTCGCTTTTTCGAAAAATCTGCTTGTAGTCTAAAAAGCCTCTTCCAAAAGAGGCTTGTAGTCTAGATGTAGCCTTTGCGTCACTACAGATCTTACAGTGAATCAGCTGTATTGCTACTCTGTCTTCTGTGCAGCTGTCTATGCCAGTGAGAGAGACCTATCGCACCAGCATAATTAAAATATAGTAGTGATGGCCAGGGGCGGCCCATCCATATAGGTGAAGTAGGCGGTTGCCTAGGGTGCCAAGTTAAATGGGGGGCATAATATCATTGAGGGGTTTGGAGGTGGGGGCGCCGATTGCATGGTTCACCTAGGGCGCCAGTTACTGGCAGCTAGTCTAGGGCCACCCCTGAGTGGCCGCATAATACTGTCCACACTGGTACTTTTGTCAGTGAAACTTAGGTCAGCCAGGGGTGTCACACCCCTGACCGACAAAACTTTTGCAGGCAAAAATGCTAGTACAGGCAGTCCCCGGGTTACGTACAAGATAGGGACTGTAGGTTTGTTCTTAAGTTGAATTTCTATGTAAGTCGGAACTGGTACATATTGTAGGGGAAACTCTAGCCAAACATTTCTCCAGAGCTCAGTTTTATTCTCCCACACCTCACTTCCCTCAGTCCTTTATTCTCAAGCTGAGATGTCTGCTGAGAAAAGCCGCTCCGCGTCTCCCTGGTCTGCTGGGGGGAAGCAGCTAGTGCGGGGTTGCCTCACCCCGTTTGTAAGTAGGGATCCGATGTAAGTCGGATCCATGTAACCCGGGAACTGCCTGTATAGACTGAGCCTTAATCTCCCTAGCTGCAGTTTTAGCACACTGTGTCTTGACCTGTCCTCAGAAGTTGAGAACAATCTATCACCCTCTTCTTTATAACATCCTTTAATGACCTTGACCACTGTTATCATGCCCCCACACCAGTCTTTTCTTGATTAACCAAACCCAATTTTAACTCATATGTCCTGTTTTCTAAACTGTAATCATTTTTGTTGCTCCCCTCTTGACTTTCTCCATTTTGTGCATATCCTCCCCAAAGTGTGGTGCCTAGACCTGCACACAGTGCTCCAGCTGAGGATGCATCAGCATTGAGTAGCGTGAAAGAATTATTTCTGCATCTTGCTTACAACGCCCCTGCTAATACATCCCAGAATGTTTGAGTTTTTTTGCAACAGCATTACACTGTTGACTCAGATTGTTGACTTAGTTTGTGATCCATTGTAACACCCATCCTTTTCTGCAGAACACCTTCCTGTGCAGTCATTTCCCATTTTTATTTGTGCAATAGATTTTTTCCTTCCTAGATTTGTCTCTATTGAATTTCATACTATTTAGTTCTGACCATTTTCTCCTGTTTGACAAGATAATTTTCTTTTATGATCAGGCAACAAAAGACAATGGGTCTACTTCTCAGTTTTGCTAACCCTCTTTAGCACCAGGCAGTGGCACTGTAAGCATCTCCCACACTGGTTCCAATGAAGGTCCTCAGTCCTGAAGTGAGAGGTTGAATCAGTTCACATGGCACATAGCTTTGGCTTCTTCTTGAGGCTGCTAGGAAAGCAAAATTTTCAACAACCACAGGCACAATTTTGTGACAAGGACACAAGTCCATTAGGAAATACATGGAGGCTGCCAACCTCAAATCACATAGAATACTGAATAGAAATTGCAAATTAATGATTTTGCGATGGGTTAGATTTGGACTGTCACTGAGCATTGAAGAGCTTCATAGCCCATTTCCATTAAACCTTCAGTTCTATTGGAAACTTTGTTTTTAAGGGTTATCTTTCAATTACACAGACTGAGAATATTTCTCATGCATATAATGGCATGCATCAAGATAGCCAAATGTTATAATACTTTTTTATGGCTGCAAATTATACTCTCTGACTAGCTCTTTCACCTGTGTGCAAAAGAAACAAAGTTTACTTTCAGTTTCAAAGGGTTCTGCTTTTGTTCCCGTCTGCTTGATTTTTGTATCTGCTTACTCACTACAAAACAAACCTTAAGCAAGCGATAATCATGTCTCATGACAGAAAGCATATTTAAAGAAAACTGAAACCTCTGCAGAGGGAACTTCTCCAGTTGACCACTGGATTCCTGACTATATGAAGCATCTGGGAACCTTTGCTACATCCAGACTTGGTAAGCCTGGCCTGTCTTCTGTTGTGCAAAAGAAGAGTCCTGCCTCAGGATCACAACAATTTAACAGGTAATTTACAAATATGTTACTTGGAAATGTGTATTGACTTATCTTTCTTTCTCTGTTTTTCTCCATTACTTCCACCATTTAGTACTAGCAAAGAGTGCAGCATCAACAGTCCCAAAGACAGAAGTGACATCTCTTGCCCATAACAATATAGACCAATGAGATTCCTTCATTTCGCTCTGCTAATGGAACTCTGCACTATCCCAAAGGAAGCATCTCATGGGATTAGTGGGGGATTAAGTTTCTGTATCTTATTCTGTTCTTAGTCTCAACCAATAAAGGGGTCCAATGGTGAATATGATAGATGCTCTTCTGTTTTAAAGACCTAGGACTAAAAGTGGGAAATGATTGGAGAGCAGATTCACAAATATTGGGCAAACTTCACAGGGTGATGTTATTTGTGATTATTTGGAGGAATATCAAATATTGATGAAAATGTTTGCAATTATGAAAATGTATCATGAAAGTTCTACTTTTTGAAACTAATTATTGAAACTAATACTCCACTGCCTCGTAGCTATCATTTACACTTCTGTATTGTGGGTGCTACAAAATATCACAGCTCTGAGAGAATTCTGAGTTTTGTACACATTTTACATTCTGCACTGTGTGGTCTAATAGCCTGTGTACTCTCCATGTAGCCTAAACCTATATACTCTCCTTGTAGGCTGCAAACCTATATACTCTCCTAAACCGTTCACTGTTTTATCCTATTCTAGCAGTAACTCGAGGACCTACAGGGATTGAATCCTGTGAGAAGTTAGCTTTTGCAGTAGTGTAGGTTGGTTATGAGAGTTTATATATAATATTTTTTAAAACAATTATAGCTAGGTAGGTATTAGTGTTTGGAAATCTCCAGTTCTCCTAACTAGATTAGTCTAACCACAAAAGGGCCAGTGTGCTGATGTAGAATGTGTCATTATTTCGTGTGGTATCTGAAAGTACCAAAAATACAATGACCTGCCAGGTTGGACACGCTGCTTTACCAAGAAAGCAGAGGGTGACATTTCTTGGTGTTTAAGTCACAAGTGCCCATTTTAAGAATTTGTCCACGAGGGCATAAAATGATATCGCATGCAGATTTAAAGGGGTGTCCTAGTTTAATTCTCCAATCGAATGTGTGCACACTCAAATCTTAGGGTGCAAAATCTATTTTTGGCTTTGAAGGGTCTGGCTATAGGTGACGCACGAAGGCCTATAAAACCCTCGGCAGGTAGTGTGGAGCAGGACTTTCTTCCTTAAGCTCGTTTCCTTATTTTCCATTACAGTGCTAGTATTCTTTTAAGTCTCTCAGTTTCTTCTGCTACAATACTCTCTGACCTCTCACTGAGACCCTCATTCTACCAGCAGAGCGAGGCTGGTTCTCTGACCCCTCAGAGTCTTCAGGAGAGTGTGTGAGTATGGTATTATCCTAGGAAATTGCAGTTGTATACTCAGGCTGCATTTATGCTACCACCTGAGGCAATCGAATCAATTTATGCAGTCGTCGCCTTAGGTATTTTATTGTGTGTAAATTTAATACCTATTTTAATTAAAAAATGCTTTGATTTGGTACCACCCATAGTGTAAGTTTGATTGCCGCAGTTCCAAAGACCTGCCTCCAGTCATAGAACTCTTTGGCTCTTGGTTTCTGTAACTGGGGTGGAGGGGAAACCTAGAGATTTTGTGGTCAGATAATTGGTGAGCCTAAAACCCAAACAACATTCCCAATCACATCTAACTCAGGGTAACAACAGGTAGAAATGACATGATACAAGGCAGTGGAGAGTCAAGTCCACTGGATACATACTTGTGTGGGGAGAGAGCTTAGGTACAGATACAGGACTTGCTGTTCGTGCCATTCCCTTGAGCCCTTCAAAGACCCTGGAGTGATGAGAAGGAAATAATATATTGTGTTGCATGACAGCCCATTTACATCTTTTGCAGTTTAAGATGCTGACAGTGGGCCGTGTTTTACTGCTTATGGTAGCAGCATCTGTTGCCAACATAGGAAAAGATCCTACCCTTGATTCAGACTGGGAACACTGGAAGACAACCTACCAAAAGCAGTACAATAGTGAGGTAATTTATATTTCCATTCTAAATATTTATTTTTGTGATATATTGTACTAAACCAGAACAGTATGCTCTACTACCTGGTTGATTCTTTTTACTGTTAAATAATTTACTGGCCAAGACAAACAGAAGAACTGAATAGAATTTTGGGGACTGAAATGTTCAATATCATGTTATATCTGGATTAAATGTGATCATGATCAGGTTCACAAATATTTATTAGTGATAGAGTGACTTATGCTTCCAGGAGTGATTAAAGCTGAAGGTTGCCTTAATGCGCTTACAAAGTGCAACTCAAGAATTTGTTTTCTAATAAGCTAATTTATATTCTTGGACTATACTACACATGGAGAGAAACATTCTTAATATTTTTCATTCAAAGCAATTATGTTATGATCTTATTTCCTCAAATTCCTGTAAGAAAAAGAATACCTTTACTTACTCTCAATCTAGTGTTTATTTCTGGCCCGCCAGAGTGCAGCGTGGCGGGCCAGAAATAAATTTAGAATTGCTGTTAAATTTAGAATGCCAGGAACAGCAATTTTAGAAATTGTATCTCTGGCCCGCCAGAGTGCAGCGTGCTCCTCAGAATTTAGAAATTGTAATTGCATTGTCCATATTTTACAATGTAATGAGAGCTGGTTGAAAAATCCATTTTTGCCTTGTTAATTTGAAATTTATCCATTGGTCACTTGAAAAATTTAAAACAAAACCTTTTCTGTGTTTCAGATTTAATTTGAAATTTTTGTGTTTTTCAAAAATGAAAAATTAGCAAAACTTTTAAAACTTTAGATTTTAGGTTTTTTCCCTTTTCTCTCACTACTTTTTTTTTCTACTGAAAGTAATAATGAAACACATCATTTTTCTTTCCACTTTTCCTTTTTTATTTTCTCTACTCTGTAACTTTGCAAAAATTTTCCAACTTTGAAAAAACTGAAGTGGTATATTTAATTTTTCCTTTTGCCATTAAGTAACTCGTGCAAAATGGAAGAGATTTAAAAAGTTAGAATAGAAAAGGGAAAAAGAAAAAAAGAAAGGAAAATGTTGCAATTCTCTTTCTTCCAAACTACATGTTGTTCATCTTATTGTGGCAATAGGAGGAAAAAAGAAGAAAAGGCTATGAAAATTTAGAAGTAAATCAAATCAAAATGAAATTTCAATTTAAAATTAAACAAAAATGTAGTTTAATTGGGACACTTTCCATTGGAAAAAATACCACACAAGCAAACTTATTCCACCAAAAATTAAATTTTTTATTAGCCCCATTTTCGTGACCAAAAATGTTCCTATTTCTTTCATTATTTCCATTATTTCAGGAAGAAGAGCTTTTCAGGCGCCTGATCTGGGAAAAAACCCTGAAAATTGTTACAGTTCATAACTTGGAAGAGTCAATAGGAATGCATTCATACACAATGGCTATGAATGGCCTTGCAGACATGGTAAATTTCCTCATCTACTTTGTTCTCAAATTATGTAGTGACATTTTGTTGTTTCAAGCTCTTTTTAAAAAAAAAGAAGTCATAATAATTGTAAAAAGATTTTTCCCTCACCTTTGTCAGAATTGCTAGTGCAATTAATTGCACTAACTAGTTACCTGTATTTTGATTATTTTTAAAAGTAAATGATCCAATGCAATATGATCCCGAGAGCATGAGAGCAGAGGGTAGAGACATAATTCAATGGCTAAGACACTGAATTGGCCATCAAGAGAACTAGATTTAGTTACCTATCTTGCCATGGAATAACTGTGTAGCCTTAGAAATCTGTAAAATGAGGATAATACTTACTGTACTTTGCACAGTGCTTTGAGATCCTCAAGAAACAAGAGCAAAGAGTTATTAAAGGAGTGGGCTTTGGATCCACCCCCATTGAAGAACAATGTGCCATTTTGCACAGCCACTCTTTAGAGTACAGCTATTGTTTAAATCTTAGACATTTTCTGCCATGTATTTGTTAGCTGCTGCAAAGTTGGCTGATTAGGGCACTTGCCAGACAGCAGTATGACCAGTTACTGATTATGAATTTTTAACATTCTCTATTCCTTTTTAAAAATTTTATTTTAACAGACGTCTGAGGAAATAACAGCTACCATGACAGGGCTCAGAGTATCCAACTCAGAAATGGATAACCTTACAGTTGATTGGCCTGGAGAAAGTGTTCAGATCCCAGATGGCATTGACTGGAGGAAGAAAGGTTATGTCACCAGTGTAAAGAACCAGGTGCGAACTCGTAGGTGGAAATTACAATAGGTGGAGAATGAATACTACAACCCGGATAATTGCAGAATAGTGTGAATCTCCCATCATCTTCCTCACATTGTTGAGGAAGAACTGCATAGTTCCAGAAATGCAATATTTGTAAATGACATTCTATGAGAATATCTATATTGCTGCATTATCCATTTCAACATGTAAAATCATGCCTTTTCAGTTGAAGTTGTTCATTCAGCTTATTTATTATTAAGGCCAAAGCAGACTGTGAAGAGATTCAAAAAGATCTCACCAAACTAAGTGACTGGGCAACAAAATGGCAAATGAAATTTAATGTTGACAACTGTAAAGTAATGCACATTGGAAAAAATAATCCCAACTAAACATACAATATGATGGGGACTAATTTAGCTACAACTACTCAAGAAAGTGATCTATGAATAGTTCTCTGAAAACATCCACTCCGTGTACAGGGACAGTCAAAAAAGCAAATAGAATGTTAGGAATCATTAGAAAAAGGATAGAGAATAAGACAGAGCATATCTTATTGCCTCTGTATAAAACCATGGTACGCCCACATCTTGAATACTGCGTACAGATGTGGTTGCCTCATCTCAAAAAAGATATATTGGCATTGGAAAAGGTTCAGAAAAGGATAAAAAAAACGATTAGGGGTTTTGAACGGGTCCCATATAAAAAGACATTTAAAAGACTTGGACTTTTCAGCTTAGAAAAAAGAAGACTAAGGGGGGGAAATGACAGAAGTGTATAAAATCATGACTGGTGTGGAAAAAGTGAATAAGAAAAAGTTATTTACTTATTCCCCAAACAGCTAGACTATCTATATTTACTTCTCATACTGTTAAAGCTAACTGTCTCACAAGTGCATTGTATCCGTCTTCTCACACTTATGCTGTAAATCAGGAATAAGGCCACTAGTGTTTTTGTCTCAAAAGTATAATTAAGCCATTTATGATATCTACCTTAACATGTATTTTGTTGTTGTTGTTGAACCTTGCAATGTGCCTCAGGGATCCTGTGGTTCGTGTTGGGCGTTCAGTGCTGTGGGGAACCTTGCAATATGCCTCAGGGATCCTGTGGTTCGTGTTGGGCGTTCAGTGCTGTGGGGGCCTTGGAAGGACAACTGAAGAAGAAAACAGGGCGTCTGTTGTCACTTAGTCCCCAGAACCTAGTAGACTGTACCAGGAGCTATGGCAACGATGGTTGCAGCGGAGGCTATATGACTAATGCTTTCAGATATGTTATAGACAACAATGGCATTGATTCAGAAAAGTCCTACCCATATGAAGGTCAGGTGAGTATCACTGGGTCAAAGGTGTTTCTTCGGGGAGGAAAAAATTGGAAAAGTCTATATTTTACCACAAAATGTTTTATCTGAAAGATAAATAAGGGGTAAGACTCAAACTTCTATTTTATATCTATGGTTGAATTAACATTGTAATTGATTTGGTTTTTTTCTTCTTGATTGCTGAATGATTTAATTCAATTTAAACACACCATAGTGTCTTTTTTTAATGTTATCTGAAATAATTAGAGCCTTATACATGCCACAATTCTGTGACTGCAAAATTTGCATCAGAATACACTCCTTACCACAGATCTGGGTTCCAGAATATAAGCTTTAATTCAACAATAACAACAAAACCTTTATGTTTATGAAAACCTTCCAAGCAGGCCCCAAATGTATTGTTCAATTAATTAAATTGAATAAAACCCCATATTTTGAATTTTACCTGAATGTGTGGCAATATTCTCAAAGTGCCAAAGGAAGCAGGAGACTCCATCATTGCATCAGAATTTATATCCATCTTGCTATACATGGGGCCCTGGAAATAATAGTGCCATTTCATATACCAGCATACTACAGAGTGAGATCATCTACTATATATTTGAGAGTTTGTCACATCTGTGTGTGTGTCTGTCCGTTTGTTCAAGAACCACTCCTCCTAAAAGGATCACCAAATTCAGTATGCAGATTTCTCTTATCATAACTAAAAGGAAGCTACAGGTTTGGTTGTGCCAAGAAAACGGGATGTGCTTGGAATGGGATTGCTTCTCCTAAAACCATGCAGAAAAGAAACAGAATCAACAGGCAGGTGAAAGGGGCAGGCTGGGGGGCACCCCCCACATCTGGAACTGCCCTAGCCCCAAGCCTCCCACCCTCCAGGCTCCTTTTAGGGAGCACCAGGTCCACAACTCCCCCAGCCTTGATTTGTACAGAGACACTGCTGGCTGTTCCCCTTTGTCAGAGAGCCTGGGGAAAGTACACAGTTTGCTGCATTCCTCACTCTTGAGTGCAGGGGGCAGATGATCTTGGACCTACCCCATCTAGGCAATATGTACCCATCCCTCGGCTATGGCTGCTGGAGTTGGAGTGGCTATCGAGAGGCATTCCTCACCTGGCCCCAAGCTGCTGTGTTGAGAGAGGTCTGGGGTAGTCCCCTCTCCCACAGGCAGCGTGCAAACTGATGCCCTCATCCCCCACCTCATCCCAGAGCAATGATTTACATAAGAAAAACAAAAATTAATTGAGTAAAGGACTGGAGCAACTGGGATCTTACTTTGTGAGGTAGGGAGCCATCTATTGACAAAAGCATGCAAAATATCTACTATATATTTGAAAGAGTAAAACAAAAATGGAGTTAAAGACCCAGAATGGAGTACTCCTCTCTCTCTAGGGCAGCGTGCATACTGAATCCCTCATCCCCAACCCTATCCCACAGCAATGATTTAAACAAAGCATTACATTTTCATTTTATTTTCTGAAAGTTTGCATACTGAACCCCTCATCCCCAACCTTATCCCACAGCAATGATTTAAACATTTTCATTACATTTTCATTTTATTTTCTGAAAAACAGAAATTTATCGACTTAAGGACCCAACCAGCGCCAGGTAAATCTTCTAGCACTGTGTATGTGTAGCTAGATAGATAGATGCTGGTGCTGGGGGGGATGTGACTTAAAAACCAGTTCCCCCCGGCACTGACTCCACAGTGCTGCCTGCTCCCACCTTGCACTGCTGCCTCTACCAGAGGCAACAGCGTGTGGGGGGAGGGTGGGGAGGGGGCAGGTGAGACTGTCA